TGTTTTTTTTTTTTTATTTAAGTTATTGCTGAAAGCTATGCAATAACCAAAAACATTTTTTAATATAGAGATGTTGTAGAAGCTTGTTTGAACTGCTATATTTTATTTTTAAAGTATTATTTTCTATTTATTATTATTATTATGGTTGTTGTTGTTGTTGTTGTTGTTGTTGTTAGTAGTAGTAGTATTACTGTTGTTGTTTTTATTATTAGACAGCTAGTAGTAACAACAAAGATAATTGTAAAACAAATCTAAATATTAAAAATAATAAAATGAGTAGCCCTATTTTTAAAAACATGATTGCAAAAAACTAAAATTCTATGTTTAAGAAATAATATGAATAATAAAGCCTGAGGTTGCGTGTCTTGATCAGTGACATAGATCGATTGTTTTGTGAAGTTTGAACCTATGTTCTTTAAGGGCCTCAGTTTGCTAATATTTTTTTGAGTTCTGATTTTTTTTTCTCTAACAGGTCAATCATGAGTGCTAAAGCAGTGAGCTGCACAATAAAATCACCTGTGGCGCTGCAGATTGGAGACACTGTATCTGATTCATCTCGTCCTGGCGTCTACATAACAGACATCACCCTCGCCGAGCCTGTGAACGTGAGTATCTCTCACATCAGTTCATAAAGATCGCAATTATTGATCGACCGGCATGGGTTTATTAATGCCCGATATACAGCTTATGCTGCTATATCTCCTGTGCTTGTGTCTAGATTCAGGAAATCTCCTTCAAGAACTACTACACTGCGTATTTGACGGTCCGTTTGCAGCGGAGAGAGGACGGCTCTGCGAAGTGGGTCACTTGTTTGAGAAATTACTGCCTCATGAGCAACCCACACGCTGAGGCCGGATCACATGACTATTTCTCCATCTACAGACATCAGGTAGGAATGAGAAACAGACAGGAAACCAAAACATTGATCGTTTGGAAATGAGCAGCGTGAACATTCTGCAAAGTTTCTGCTTTTGTGCTCCACGTAAAAAAAGCCCCTTTGTGTCAGTTTAAACCTTCAAGCTTTTGGTTCTTTAACCACTACTTTAAATATATTAGTGATGAACTTAAATGAATTGTTTACTGAAATACAGAAACTGAAATTAAAATTTGAATTTAAACAAAAAACAAAACTGATTTTTAAAAATAATTTAGTAATAATTAAAATTTATTTAAGAGTTGGACACTGTAAACAACAATAATAAAATTACAAAAAAAAAGATTATTGGAGTATGTTTTACAAGACGATACTACTTCAGTTTTTCTATTTAAAAATTTGAAGTTTAATTCAATGTGTCACTTGTCTTTTCTTTGTAATTGTTAAATTTGTGAAATTTACTAGCAATTTCTGAGTGAATTTTTTGCTGTGTATATAAAAATAAATTGTACATAAGGCAGTTTTTATTTTAAGCTGAAGTGGCTACAGTGATCTGACATGTCACTTTAAAGCGTGTCAAGTCAGAATTTTTTGTTTGAATTTTGTTATAAAATTTACAGAATTTTAAAACTGAGAATTGGTTTCATATCAAAAACAACAAAGCTTATTGTGATTACTGAATGGCAGGCGTGCTATAAATAATATTTAGTGACATTGTTTTCTCTTATCAGCTAAAAACTGTAATAAAGCAATGAGCTCCGTGAAGCCGTGGTTTACAGTGAATTTATAACAGCTAAGGTTAGCTTAGCTGTTATAAATTCACTGTAAACCACGGCTTCACGGGGCTTATTGCTTTTATAAAATGCTTATTCCACGTAGTAAGGTTTCACAAAATAAAACAGAGCAAATAAAGTGTAATGATAATAAAAACAGTAACAATGTAGTTCCTCAGAAACAGTTGTGGTTCCAACAAAGTGGTTGCCGAGCAACACACAGAAGTAAACAAAGGTGTATGTTTGTAGAGTAATTTACAACAGCTTAGAACGAGGCTCAGCCAATCAGAATCAAGGACCGGAACTCTCCGTTTTATAAACTTTTTTTTTTCCTTCTTTTAAAAAGGTAATTGCAACTTATCTCACAATTCAGAAATTTTTTCTTGGAATTATTATTTGTTTTCTCAGAATTGTTAGAAAAAACAGAATTGTTAGTTTCTGTTTGGAAATTGTCTATGGAATTGAATGAAAAAAATTTGTGAGATGTAAACTCGAAATTGCGATAAAGTCAGAACTCTGAAATTACATCTCACAATTATGAGTTTATATTTTGCAATTCTGATTTTTTTTTCCTCCAAATAGTCCTTCGACTTGTGACTTCATTTCTCAGAATTGCAGAAAAGGCTGAACTGTGAGATATAAACTTAAAATTGAGAGAAAAAAAACAGTCAGAATTGTGAAATAAAAAGTCATAATGACCTTTTTATCCATAAAACAGCATAGACTAAAAGATCTTCATCAAAATGAAAGATCGATTAAAAGCGAGAAATCAAAATCAACCAGCATTAGCGTCCACACAGCTGACATGTTTACGAGTTGTAGCTTAAGTTGTTTGCACGAAATAGATGCTGGCAGATTAAAAACGAGCCATCAGAGAAGTGCCAAGTAAACGGTTTCACCCAAAACTGAAAATTCCTTTTCGGCTGAATATTTTCAGCTGCTTAAAATTCTATACATTACGAGTTAAGATACAGACACATTATCACTATTTTGGCAAAATTTTGCGGGCCAAAAAAGTCCATTGTCTTGAATAATAGCGACATCCACATGGGGACATTTTGTCCTCAAGCGAAAGTAAGGATTGCATTTACATGACAACGATTTACCAAAAAAGGAAAAGTTTTTCATTTGCGTTTTGAAAACATTTGCGTACAGACGACAACATTGTCAAAATGATCTCCATTCACACAGATCCACGAAAACGACAAAAAACGCATGTATTATTCATACCAGGCCAGTAGATGGCGATGTCACATTGTAAAAAAACACCACGTACTTGTAGTTTTCGAAAGTTTGCGCGTTCAGGCCCCCAAAACACCATTGTCATGTAAATGAACCGCCAAAACACATAAAAAGTTATACGTTTTCAGTTGGAAATGGTGTTGTGAAATGACTGCCGAGCAACGGTAAGTTTAACCGCACCTTTACAGATTTTGAATTCTTCAAATTATGTACGCATGACAGTTTACTTGCGCGACAAATACCTAATTACTGCTTTTTTTAACCACGCAAAAGATGCAATCTTTGTAATCTTTTTAAAGAATTTCCTCTGAGACAACACCGTCAATTATGTCCGCAGGATGTCATGAGTTTTTAAATAAAAACCCCTAACAGTTTTGTCAGCCATCCCAGCGTAATCGCAGCAGCTCGCAGAACATTTTGTTTGTCATCACGGTGATTTGGCCCATTTGTGGCTCTCCGGGGATCTGATGTCCCGGTCTTTGATCTGTGAGTTGCCTGTAATGACTGCTTTAATGTATTGAGATCAGGCTCTCTCGACGCTTTTTAGCTCCGTTTCAAAGACACTGAGATATTAGACGTGAGTCCTCGACTGAACTCTCAGTTGATTGGACGGTGAGTTCTGCGCTGTATGGCCACCTTTAGTGGCATGGAATAAAATTTGCATTGAAAAACCCACCTGGGACGCCACACAGCTCTCACCCTATCTGCTGTAATCTGTATAAGCCGGGTTTTGATGTCAACGGACACTGCAATGATAAATAAGTCTTTATTAAGAAGAGGAGAAATATTGAAAACAAAGTCCTTGCAGGTTTTTATAATTACAAGGACATTTATTCTCAATTATATGGAGGTTTATGGTGAATTTAAAGGATTAGGTCACCCAAAAATTGTAATTCTGTCATCGTTTACACCTAAACTTGATTACTCTCTTTATCGTGGAACATAAAAGATTAATTTTACGTATAATGAAAGTATTGCTGTCAAACGATTAATTGCAATTAATCGCATCCAAAATAAAAGTTTTTGTTTGCATAATATATGAGTGTGTACTGTGTATATTTATTATGTATATATAAATACACGCACATACAGCATATATTATAAATATCAGGAATTGTTTAAGAAGAACATATCAAAATTACTGAATATTAAAACTAAAATTATTATGCAGTTGAAAACAAAATTAAAAACTAAATCAAAATATTGAAAAATACTATATTAGTATATATATATATATATATATGTCACATAAAACTCAAACTAAAAACTGAAAATGAAAACAAAAATCGAAATATTAAAAAAGCAGTATATAAATAATACTTCAATTACACCGATATAAATACACATAAATATAAATCATACAAAAGTGTGTGGGTTTAGAATGACATTAGGGTGAGTAAATGATGCCAGATTTTCATTTTTTTTTTAACTAGCACAAATGATTTAAAGAGTTACAGTACATGCTCTCAGTCATAGTGTGTGGAATTTGCATGGTTTCTCTGGAGATGGCCTTCAAAATCTCTTAAAATCTCAGAGAAAACAAGCAGATAACTCGGCAGTCTTGGCAGGCGCTGTGACTCCTCTGCATCAGTAACTTCCCAGTGTGAAAAAGTGAAACATTTTTGCTGCGTCACTGTTTTTGACATATTCTTGTAGCTGTTCTTTGAGATCCTGTTGGTCGGTGAAGGTCATGCCAGCCTCAGCCTAAACATTTTCAATCTACTTGGAAACATTGGCTGTTTGCTCAAAATAATGCTACTCTGGGGTGGGGTGGGGTAACTTATTTCACTTCTTTCTTTCTTTCTTTCTTTCTTTCTTACATTTAATTTATTTATCTATATCATCCATCTCGTTTTTTTTTTTTAAAGAAATGTATACTTCTGTATAGCAAAGATCAATTAAATTGAACAAAAGTCACAGTAAATAAATGTATAATGTTACAAAAAAATACTTATTTAAATGCATGCTATTTTTTTTTTTTATTTCTATTCATCGAAGAATCCTGAAACGTAGGGTGCTTTCACACAAGCACTTTTGGTTCGATTGATGTCAGAGTTCGGTACGTTTGGATGATGTGAACGCGGTCTTCCGAACTCGGGTGCGCACCCGCGAACCGTACCCGAGTCCGCTTAAAAAGGGTGGTCTGGGGTACGGTTCAAGTGAACTCCGGTACGGTTCGCTGCTGATGTGAACGCAATCGTACCAAATCGCGGAAGTGAACCGCTATTAATGACGTATTATTTGATAAAAATGTGTTTGTGTGTTTCCTGACGAGCATGACTGACACGCTGCAAACAGAGAGCTGTATATCTCATTCTGTTCTCCTTCAGTGTTCTTTAGAGCATTTGCAGTACATTCGTAAGACAGACGTAAGTGCCGTTATGTACCGAAGCTTTGTAAACAAAACGAATGGCTCAAAAACGTAAATATATAAAAGTGCAGAGAGCAATGTTATGCATCTGCCGCCTTCTCCTGCGCCGTCGTTACTAAGCAACGGGGTAAACAGCTGCTGGCTTGATGACGCAAACGAACCG